TGAGATGGATCAGGAAACAAAAGTAATAGCAGGCAATGTAAATAGGTATTATTAACTTCGTAATAACTCCCCTAAGTACAATCTACTTGCTAAAAAGGGCACGTCGGCCGTTCGTCTTACAAGGCAGTAGAGATGCTGCGAGTAAGAATACGATAGCCAGAATGCTAAGAATAGAAAGTTGCCAACCCTTTACAATGAAATAAATGCTTCTATTTATACCCACCAATGGGCGAACATATGAAAATTAACAGGGCGCACCTGAAAAGAATGAAAAGAGCTGATGGACTTAGGGCTGGCGATTCCAGGGCTTCCCGGCGGTGACGGCGGTGCGTCAACCAGCAGCAGGGCGGAAGGATTTCCTCTCTTTTTCGGATCTTTCTCAGCAAATGTCCCAGGAACAGAGGAAATCAGAGATAAAACTCAATCTGCAGATAAGACCAGATGGGATCTGCGACCACAACGAAAATTCAACGAGAGTAACGGCAGAGTCTCGCGTTTGGCTTCGGCGGAAGTGGAGGCGACCGCAACCGGAAAAAATCTGGATCCCGTCCAACGATGCGGCTTAATCAGTGCTGATGACGGAACTTCAGCTCCGAGGGTTGCGTACCCTCTCACAGGGGCGGCTCCACATCGAAAGGGCTTGTGGCGACCTGCAACTCGCCAAAAGAAGAGATGTCTAGGCTACAGGACACTTTACTCCGGCTGTGAGTCCTCAACACCTCGGTTGAATTGGAAGAATATGGCTGAAACTAGTAAGTTTAAGCACAAAAGGGCCAATATGCTCAGGGGAAACGCACGGCCAGGCAAAGATTACGGCTACAAACAGAAAAAAGCACAATCAAGTAAGGTATCAGCTTACCCCATATGGGTGTGAAATTTCAATTGAGAGTAAATGCTTTCGGTTTCATATAATTAATAGCAATGCACTGCGTATTTCTGAAATGAAACATGGGATCACTACTTTTATTGACCTTGATTTGGTGAAGGCTTCTTGGTTAAAGACCTCCATCCCCAAATTTTTTTCTGGTACATGGGCTTGCTCTAGATTAGAATTGAATTCCACGGTTATCCTTCATGATGCTAATTTTTTTGGAGGCTTTATTCGAATTATTGAGAAGGGTGGCAATTCTCTATTTATACCTGAAGGAAGAAATGCAGTTGGAATTAATTGTTTTCTGTCTGGGATTTCAAGAGCAATTACTTTAATGATTGGAAGCACAAGTAAGGAGCCAATGCAGACGATTGGATGTGCCACATATGAGATTTTATCGGGTAACACAAATCCATGTTTTGATTGGGATCCTCTGTCGCAAGGAAGGGATGAGGATAATTATCACTCTTCAATCTCAAAAGCATTTTTGGAGGTGGATATTATGCATTGCGGTTCTGCTAAGAATTCTTTAGAGATGATTGCTATTGAGGACGTTAATAATTCTGAACTAATTCCAGTTCCTGACCCTTCATTAGCAATTATAAAAGATTTTTTTGAGACTACTATGACTAACGGGGTTGACTCTCTCTCCCAATTTCTACTCAAAGAATTCAAAAGAATCCTTGCTGACTCTTTAGGAAATCAGGAGAGACCTGCTGAAGATGGGAAAATTACTAAGTGTGCATCAGAGAGCGAGAAGATAATTCTAGGGGATTTTTTTACAGATAATTCTGAAGATTTTGTAAGTGAGGGGGTCTGTGGCGAGCAGCTCTACGGACACTCGGGGGATGATTTTCTGGGCCACGCATCGGAGAGCGAGAAAAGAACTCCTATTTCATCGTTGGATGATCTTTGGGACTCTGACATGAATAATGATATTTGCAATAAAGCTTTGTTGGTCACGCCAGAAAACTGCTTGCCCACAGAGAATTTGAACACTCAAATTAAGATATACAGGAAAAAATATCAACGGTCCCATCATATGAAGACTAGATCGCAAACTCGGATGGAGTACTGACTATGAGTGTTAGGGGCTTCTTGGGAGGGTCTTCTTTATTGTTATTTGGGTTGGGTTGTTTCACTTCTTTTTCTTTTCTTTTTTCTTTTTTCTTCTCGTTTTTTCCTTCCTTGTAATTTCCTTGCTTCTTTCCTTAATAAATTTTTTGGTTTTGCAAAAAAAAAAAATAAAAAAAAAAAATACCCACCAATGGGCAGGTGGCTGTACTGACGTGGCAGCCTGTGGACCGCTGGTGTCCCAACTACCAAATCTTTAGCATTAAATGCACTTCCCGCCAGAATCTAGGTTTCCCGCCTGATTAGTGGGGACGTTCGTCCTCCCGGGAAGTGAGTTGGATTGCTCCAAGTGACCCTCGAGAGATATCGGCTGTTCGTCTCCTGGCCTTGTAGATATTCACCATGTGAACTGGGTCCCCTCCGATGACTACAGGCTTGTCCCGGAGACGTTCGTCGCCATCCCTGGTGGCCCGTGGTCCTGCTCCTTGTCCCTGCACAGACGTTCGTCGGGATGAGTCTGCTGGGCCTGAGCCCCCAACACCAGACGTTCGTCCATCCTCAAGGGACATGGGCCTGTGGGCTGGCCTGGTGTTCTAACTGGACGTGCGTCTGGCAATATGGGTTAGTGGGCCGGACCTCGGCTTGGGCCCTTAACCCAACACAAGTCCCCCACTTCTGATGTTCTGGGCTCGCGCAGGGCATAAGGAAGTAGGAATCCCCTCAAGGTAGACGTTCGTGTCTTGATATTTTGTGTTTTCTGCACCCGTTGGAAGCGTACGCTCGTGGTCATGGTGCTTGACAGCTGTCGACGGTTCAGGAAACGAGGTGACGGCTGATGTTGCGGCGGAGCATTTCCCGAGGAAATGTCATCATTACGTTTTTGCCCCACGCACAGCGCGTGGGCCGGAATACGCTCCTCGCCACGTGTCGGCCCCTCGTTGGTTTCCCCATCGGTGTTCTCTCCTATAAATGCCGGGTTTTCCCTCTGAATTAGGGTTCCCAATTTCTGCTCTCTTGCTCTCGATTTTCCGCAGCTCTTCAAGTCTTCTTCTGAATTCGGCTAACCCCTTTGTAAGGTAATTTCCCCCCTCTGCTTCTTTTCTTGTTCTGATTCTTAGCCGAAATGACTTCGATGGAGATTTCGTCAAGCTCTGATTCCGGTTCGTCGGGTTCCTCCTCGAGCTCCTCTTCGGTCGATGTGAGTGCGCGCTCCCCCGGGAAGGCCAGTATTTCCGGGACCTCTGGTTCGGCCACGACGGTGGGGACCATCCGGGCTGATGGCGAGCCGGATGATGTGTCTCAAAGTAGTGGGAGCGAGGCCGGGGACGGGGGTGCTGACGGGGCAGTAGATGTTATTGACGCAGTCCCCCTGAATGAGCGTCCTGCTGATTATGATTCTGGAGAGGAGGCCGAATCCGGTTCCGATATGGAGGTGTATGACCTAGGCATCCCTACGGATATGGAGCGCCACATCTGCCCGATCAGGAGCGCCCTTGACCATGACCAGGTCCTCTCCCGTGTGGCCCTCAACAAAATCCGTACCTTCTTCCCCCCGCCGTTCGTCTGGAGCGTGAGAGGCGCTGAACATGTGATGAGGAGACGTCCGGGGATGATCGTGCTCCATTTGGACTCCGTTGAAGCCGGGCTGCGGTTCCCGCTCCATCCGTTCTATGTGGAATTCTTCCACTGCTTCCAGGTGGCCCCGGCGCAGTTCATGCCAAATTCCTATAGGTTCCTATCTGCCTTTCTGGTGCGCTGCAAACTAGCGGGAGCCACTGCCACCTTGGAGCTTTTCCACTACTTCTACCGCATCACTCCCCAGAACTCCGATGGCTATCTGAGCGTGGCCGCACGTCCAGGAAGGAAACTGTTCAAGAACTACCCTTCGTCTATCCACGACTGGAAGAACCGCTTCTTCTTCCTTAGATACGATGGGCCTCCCCTCCCGGTTCGGTGGAACGGCTATCCCCCAAAGATCGAGTCACCGGAGCCGACCGACGATCTACTTTGGGATGTGGAGAAAGTGTTGGAGGGCGGCGTCCGTCCGATAGCCGAATATCTGACCTTCGAGGCACTCTCCGGGGCAGGCATAGGTACCGCCCGTGTCCCTGGACTCTCTCTACCCTTCGACGCTCGTCTCGGGGCATCGGCGGTCCTGTCCTTCGAGGTGAGTGTCTTACTGTATTTCCCGCTCGTCTTCTAACTCTTTGTTGTTTCTTGCAGGTTCACCACCAGATAGAGACCAGATGAATCATGCCGAGTGTCTGAAGACAAGGAAGGCCAAGGCGGCCGCTGCTAAAGCCGCACTGGCGAAAGCCAAGAACGCCCCCGCCTCGGAGTCCAATTCCTCGGCCTCTGATGCTGCCCGGCGAACTGCTGAGGGTGAGCAGCACCTGATCGCCACTGTGCTGGCTCAGGGTTCTGGGGCCCCTGCTCTTGAAGCTGCCCTTCCACCGCCGGTCGTCCCGTCGAAGGCGGCTCCTCAAAAGGGGACGGAGAAGGTCCCCGAGAAGAGACAGAAGAGGGGCCGCGAGGCAGGCTCCACCGGGCCCCTGCTTGAAGACGCCGGCTCTCTGCCATTGAGCCGCCCGGCGGAAGAGCTTTGGAGGGAGATGGCCCTCAAGGCCGGCCTCGAGCTGCCCAGCCGTTCGTCCTCTGAGGCGACCAGCGCTGCCCTGGCAGCCGCTCTTCAGGTAATTCCTCCTTGCTAGGTCCGAACATATTTTTTCCTTGACGTTCACCCCCCTGACCATCACTTTCTCTTCTGTCATCCAGTCTGGGCTTCTAGTCCTCCAGGCCGAAGCTGCCAGGGAGGCCGATCTGAAGGAGGCCAAGGCCAAAGCTGATGCGGCCGTTGCTGCGGCCCGGGAAGCCGCCCGTCGAGCTGAGGCGGAGGCCGCAGCCAAGGGGAGGGAGATTGCAGCCCTGCAGGCTGAATCCCGCAGCCAGTTGGCCGGCCTTGAAAGAGCCGGTTTCAAGCTTGTTCCGGTGCTCCCTGCTGCCAAGGATGCCACCCCGGAGTGGTTGGTCGACACCTCCGGCTACAGGAACACCGGGGAATTCATGGATTCCGCCAAGGATTATTGCGCCGGAGCCTTCGGTGATGTGTTCTCTGCGGCGCTGGCGAAGATCCCACCCCGGCAGCGTCTGGCGAGCGGGGTCCGGATTCTGGAGAGCTCCCCTCTGTCCCACAAGTTCCTCTATGAGGTCGGCGACAGCACCTTCGCCGCCGGCTACAACGAGGGGGTTAAGGCCACTCTCCCCATCTTCTCGAGGTTGCAAGGGGCTGATTTTGAGCTGGCTGCGAACACAGATGATGATCTGCTGCTTCAAGCCCTGGGGAAGCTGGGGAGGGACCAACGGCGGGCGGAAGCAAAGGCCAGAGGGGAGATTCCGGAACCCCCGACCCCTGAGCCCGAGGCCGAGGAGGAAGAGCAGACTCCGGGAGGCAGCCGGCCTGGGTCCCCTTTCTTTGTATAATGTAAATTGCATTTTCCCATTCATGCTTCATGCTTTTGTAATGCCCGGCCGTTAGAGCCGAAGAATATACATGCTCTTTTGCCCAAAATTATCTCTACGCTCATGATCTTTACTTCACATTTGTACTTTTGTTGTATGGAAACTCCCCTTGTGTTTCGATATTCTCTGTTGCATAGTCTGCGTGGACGTTCATCTCTGTTCCCCACTTGGTTTGGGGGCATGGGCGTCTCTTTGCCAAAACCCCGTACACATTAGTGCGCGGCGCCAGTGTTAAGGTCCGTCTTCGGATGGCGACACCCAGCGCCGATGCCGGCTGCCCCTCCTGCACAGCATCCTGATGGCGAGACGACGTTCGTCAGGGGTTGGCCAAACAGCACACTTTGCAAGTGTGGTCATACGCATGAATGCTAAAGCTTTCGAGCAAGGATGTCCGTCTGTCCTGCATGTTCAACTGGCATGGAGTGTGGAAAGGCGACGTTCATCCTCCGTGCGTCCCCTAAGGACATGATTTTATTTCATCATTTCGTGTCCTCCATCGTTTGTAGCATAAGAAATCCTCCCGGCGCCTCGACACACATCTGTCGCACGGCGTCCTCCTACCGAGGCCGGCTTGCCGTCCACACGATATTCCGACAATGGGAAGACGCTCGTCGGTAGCTGTCTTGACAGTACGCTCTTCTCAAGTATGGACGTACGGACGTATTTCCCTGAACCAGCGCCCGGTGACGACGTTCGTCGACGGTTGCGTGACATGGAAAACCGGGGTACCGCAAGACGAACGTAACCGGTCATTGCGTGTGTCCTCATCAGCCGCCGGTGTTAGGGACAACCGGAGACTTACGGAAATACGGAAAGACAATGTCTCCAAATCCCGCCGAGCCGGTAAGCCCTCTTCAAGGGACGTCCGTGGCACGGACCCGGGTGTCCTTGTGGCGATTATGTGGCGACGAAATCGAGGTGCCTTAAATGCCGTGGTAGGTACCGGTATCCAGGCGCCACGTGTCCTGCTTCGGTTGGCGCGATTCCGCGGTGTCGCCTATAAGTACCCAGAGTCCATGTGATCCACTCACATTTCTCCTTACGCTGCACAATTGTCTTCTCTCTCTCTAGACCTCTCTCAAACCGTGTCGGAAATCTCGAACCCAAAAGGTACCGTTCGTTGTCATGTCTTCCGAGAGTCGCTTTGACGATGGATGTTCTTCCGGCGATGACTTGGAATATTATGAGCGGGGAATGCCACCCCGGCCTCCCCGTTATAGCCTCAGCTTCTCGTGCGTTCGGCGTCAAGTTCAACGCCTGACGAATGCTGACAAGCGACTGATCAGTCAATGGTTTTATCCCCCAAGGACCTACGACGATCGGCGTCTTCGGAACCCCATGCGCCATCTGCCCGGCTATGTGGTGGTCCACCTAGATTCGGTGATAGCCGGGCTGAACTTCCCCCTGCACAGCTTCCACTTGGAACTCTTCAGGGCCCTTGAGATTGTGCCTGCGCAGCTCGTCCCTGCCGCCTATCGGATGATCGCTGGCTTCATCATTAGATGCCACAGCGTCGGTGTGACCCCCACCGTGGACCTGCTGAACCACTTCTTCCGTCTGTCCACCTTCGGACGCACAGGGTATTTGACCCTTATCGCCCGTCCGTCCATGGTTCTATTCTCGAACAATGCTGGGAATCCAGACGGTTGGGAAGAGCGCTTCTTCTTGGCCGGAGTAGGCTCACCGATGCCATTCTCTGATCGGTGGAACGCTTACCCCGTGAAGACGATCCCACCGCCCATGACGGTGCGTCCGTTTGTACTTGTATTGTTTTAACATCTCTTCGCTGTTATGGTTCTGAACGTCTTGGTTCCCTTTGTGCAGGAGTTTTTCCATCCACGTCCGCCATGAGCCGAGTCAACGCTACTTCGACCGCCACCGGCCGTGAGTACAAGGGGCGTGACAAATCCGGGACTCCGCTCGTCCCTAAGGTCGAAACTCGGGTGACCAGGGCACGGGCGGAGGATGATTCGGGAGCTGGCGCCTCCAAGAGGCTGCGTGCCGAGGGTACTGCCTCCAAGGCCATTATAGTGGCCGACGACTCTGATGGGGAGCCCGGAAGTCCCCTCAAACGGAAGCGCATTTCTCGGACCAATCTCCGTGCCTCTCCTCCGAGGAATTCCGACGTCCGCCGTCTCCGGGATGATGATGCCACAACCGCCAGAGGTTCTGATGACGCCCGTCCAACCTCTCCCCCCGAAGCCAGTGGGTCTTCTCTTGGCCTGATTGAGTTCTCCGGGGTTGGTCCCCGCAAAGAGTCAATGATGCTCTTCGGCCAGACAGCGTCCTCCATCTGGTGCGGGCTGAATCTCAAGGTCCCGCAAGATTTCGCTGCTCAGGAGGCCCCTGAGGATCTCTTGGAGTGCGGTCAGAGCACCTTGGACAAGGCCGGGCTTTATTTTCACAGGGCCTGGATGGCTTTCGAGCACCAAGGCAGGGAGATGGCCAGGGTGCGGGCCGAATGCGACGCCCTTCTGAGGAATGCAAAAGGCAGGGCTGGCACTCTTCAAGAGAAGGCCGATGCCTATGATAAGCTCGTTCAGGAGAATGCCTCTCAGAAGGAGCTCCTTAAGAAGCAGGAGGCCGAGCTCGTGGATCTCCGCAGCCGGATGTGGGCCGTAGAGAAGGCCAAGGTGGAGCTTCGCCAGACGGGCGTGGACAATCATGTCCCTATTTATGAGGCTGATGTTGCCAAAATCAAGGAGTCTGGTTCCATTGCCTTCCAGAAATCCAAGGCTTATACCGGTGCCATCCACACCATGGCCATGAAGTTTCTCCCGAGGCTCGTCGGAGAATTTCTAGCCACCTGCCCGGACGCCTACCTGGATGGGGTCAAATTGCTTCAGGCCACCCCCACCGGGCGGCGTTTCCTTGATGATCTTGCCGATGATACCTATCGCAAGGGCATGGTTGGGCTCGTAGCGGAGAATCTCCCGACGTTCGAGCGTCACTTCGGGGCTCCCTTCGATCCGGAGGCGGCTGGCTTCGACGTCCTGATGGCTGATGCCCATGCGGGAGCCCTTGAGCTGCTGAAAGAGCAGGAGGAAACCGCAGCTAGTGACAAATCCAAGCAGGCCCCTCCCAAAGCCCCAGCTCCGGACGTCGATCGGTCGTGATTCTCCGTTCATTATCTTGTACTTACACATTGTAATTTTCCGGCCAATAGTGCCGAGGAATAAAAATCATTCTTTGCTCCGTGCTCTTCTGGCATCTTTCTCTTTTTTTTTTTTTTTTTTGGAGTCTTTTAGTCTTCGTTCGTCCTTGGTCCTTGGTCCTACCGGCGTCCCTACTTCGAGGAGACGTTCGGTATCCGTAGACACCGCAAGGAAGAACAGGTTTATCTACATCGAGATTCCCCCTTTCTTCGTTCGTCCGTGGCCCTTTTAGTCTTACCGGCGTCTCTTGCTTCGAAGAAGACGTTCGGTACCCAAGGAACTCGCAGGGACGAACAGGTTTATCTACATCGAGATTCCCCCTTTCTTCGTTCGTCCGTGGCCCTTTTAGTCTTACCGGCGTCTCTTGCTTCGAAGAAGACGTTCGGTACCCAAGGAACTCGCAGGGACGAACAGGTTTACCCTCACGGGTTCCCGTCTTTGTTATCCACGTCCATCGATCCATGGTCATTTGTGGGATAAACAGGTTTATCTTGGCAGGCTCCCTTGGTTCGTCTAGCCCCCTCCACGTCTCTACTAACCTCTACATCGAGAGGCGTTCGTCTTCGGCGGTGGGGGAAGATCTGGCACACCCGGGCAAGATTCCCTTTCGTATAGGAGCTACTCTCCTCTTCTCCCTATCTTTTTTTTTTTTTTTTTTTTTTTTTTTTTGAGGGAGGTACTCTATGGTCTTCGTTCGTCATTGGTCCCTGGTCCTACCGGCGTCCCTACTTCGAGGAGACGTCCGGTACCCGCCAACATCCATCGTCAAAAAGTAAGGTAGATGGTGAAAAGTATGAAGAGAAGATAAAAGGTAGAAAAAGTAAGGGTAGTTGGGTATTTTTAAAGGAAAAACTTACCAAAAAGGAAAGTGTGGAGAATTTTTAAGTCCATCCCAAAAAAGAAAGTGTAGGGAACTTTTAAATACGGAGGGAGTAACATTTTCTTTCGTGCGCTGAATTGTGTAATAAGCATATAAAAAGTAAAGTTGGAGTTACTTTTCTGTCTGAAATTACTATAGATGACCACTTTAGCTATTTTTACATATAATGTTTTCTTTATTTTATTAATAAAATATATTTTTTAAAAAAGATCTTAAATCAGCAGAATCATCCAATGCAGGCACATCAACCAGAACTTCATAAATTTCAGCAGAATTAGCCAAATCAGCCGATTTTCTTGCTACCAAACGGGCTCTAAGAAAAATGAGTTTGTGTTGTTGATATTAAATTGATAAAGTAAGAATAAAAGTAAAAATGATTTAGAACCATACAAACATTACCAAATTTGGTATGGGACAATCTTAGTGGGATTTCTCGAACAGGTAAAATGATGCAATCTTAGCGGGACGGAGGAGTACCAAATTAGAGCTAATTTTATAAAATGTGACTATTTTTTCTAAAGGACAAAAAAGTGACTAAGAAAATAAAAAACATGATGTCACTCTCAAATTTGTATGTCACTGGCAGAATTTTATGTCACTTTTGAATGTCACTATCGGTTTTGTGTGACTTTCGAATGTCATTGTCGCCGGTGACACCGCCACAGTGACACCGTCATAGTGACACACACCACTTGCGCCGTTCACCGCCACCACTCCCCTGTCCACCACTGCAGCCTGCCCCATTCACGACCGACAACCTGCCCCGTCCACGCCGCTGCCGCTGCCCCTTCCACGCCCCTACCCCTACCCCGTCCATGCCGTTGCCCCTGCCCCGTCCACGCCGCTACCCCTGCCCCGTCCACGCCGCTGTCGCTGCCCTGCTGCTGCCCCGTACTTAGCCGCCAACTCTGCCACATGCACCCCCTTCCCCACCTCTGCCATC